ATAATCTGTTGTCATTTGTGTTCTGAAATTTTAGGATGCTGATCTTTCAAGAAATCATATTTTCCCACCTCAGGCCTAATATTCATATTAATGGTGAACATACAGTGCATGGGTTTCATCAATGGCCAAATCTTTCAGCACATGTGGAGCAGCATACATTTATTTTGGTGTTTGTAGGAGATTTATCAGGAGCAGAGCATGTGTGATAACAGCTTCTAGCTCTATTTTTGATGCGCTTAATTAAGCAGAAATTATGGTGCAAATGTGCTGTAAATATATTTATCAACACCATATTTTTTGCAGTTTATCCTCTTATGAAGCAACAGAAAATAATGGAGTTATTTATCATGGAATGAAATAAATAGATGCATGCAAATTGGCTGATATAAAACATTATCTTTTAAATGTTCGTTTTTAAGTTCTTTTGCATTGCACTCTAAAATTAATTAAAATGTGCCTAAATTATTATCCTGTAATTTAATTAGGGTTGGGTTTAATTATATTAAGTCGTTCAGATATAAACACAATGTGGTGCCGTTTTCCGAGAATGTTTTTATGATTGGATTTGTGTATTTTGGAATGTTTTCTTCTGGTTTGTGGTTCTCAGTCTTGGTCCACATCACGTCTCTTATCTGACACGTTTTCAGCTCATAAAGGGCTCTTATGATGAGATGAATCGAGTGGATTAGATGAGGGAAACATCTACAATATCCAGTGATGGTGCACATCACAAACAGGATGGTTTACATGCATCCCAATTATCCGTTTATAATCAAACCGATGGCTCATGTAATCACCTCAGTCGATTCCATTGAGCTTGATACGAATGTAATTTCAACTGAGCTCAATCCCACTGCAATGTTGATGCTATTGAAAGGGTGTAGACCTGAAATAATCCGACCAACAGGAGAAAATAAAGCATGTAAACAACTGAACTACTTCAATCGAATTCAAAAATACCTCGCACACATGCGCAGAGGCATAATGTGTGTTTACATACATTTTACGTCATACAAATGCGCATATGCTTTACTAAAATAACGAAAACTGAAATAAAAGTGTGTAGACCTGAAATAATCCGACCAACAGGAGAAAATAAAGCATGTAAACAACTGAACTACTTCAATCGAATTCAAAAATACCTCGCACACATGCGCAGAGGCATAATGTGTATGTTTACATACATTTTACGTCATATAAATGCGCATATGCTTTACTAAAATAACGAAAACTGAAATAAAAGTGTATTAAAACTACATAGACATTAAAAAAACAGAAAAACAACAAAATCTCTAATAGATAGATAGATAGATATTTGATATTTAGATGGATAGATAGATAGATAGATATTTGATATTTAGATGGATAGATAGCTATTCAGATAGATAGATAGATAGATAGATAGATAGATAGATATTTGATATTTAGATGGATGGATAGATAGATAGATATAGATATTTGATAGATAGATAGATAGATAGATAGATAGATAG